GAACAATGGATTTTATATCATGAGAGTAAGGCGTAAAATCGACTTTATAAGGCTATACCAGCCCTAATAATTATGTATTTTTCTATAGATATTATATAAGCTTTATTGCCGAAATTTTGGTAGTCGAATAGAAGATATAAATAATACCATTATATCTAGTGTCTGTATGTATTTGAACCTCGATAATTAATATTATATATTTAATGTTTTTTGATTGATCTATGGATTTAAAATATTCATTCTTTTGCAAATCCATTTCACAGATATCTTGGGAGTCGACAACTCTAGGCTTCTGGTACACGGAGCTACTGGAACGAAATGCGCAATTTCGCACTTGGATATCAACAGATCGACCGAAAGTTAGTGCTTAAATTCATTTAGTATAGAGTTCATTTAGATTGAATTTCCTTCTCAAAAAAATGTTAATTAAAATATTTCTGCATATTAAATAAGGACCACATTAATATATTTATATACATATATTTGTATCAACAAATTATTACATATTTATTTTTCTATATATAATATTTCCAACATGGCCTTCATTCTCTTTAATATGGTAACTGTTGCTGCCATCAATGGATGCCCGCTGACGCTATCTGACTGAATACACACGAATTCAATTTGTGAATTGATGAAATGTGAATATATTATGAAAGGTATTTTGGATGACGGGCTTCTTTAATCCCCAAGGATTTTTAACGGCTATGCGGCAAGTAAGTTTGTATTTGTTTTTCAACGATCGAATGGATGTACTTATATACATATATGTATTATATATATACCATATACATATATATATAAGTGTATCAATTAAACTGATGTTTGTGAAAGTATGTGTGTGTGTGACTGCCGTTCTTCTTAACTTCGAGTATGTCAGTGGAAAATGAGAGAGAGGTTACATGTTAGGTTGCCTAGTGTACAGTAATCAGTTAGAACCCCTAGAATAGCTGTAGAATGAACCTTGATAGAATAAAAAAGTTTAATAGATTTCTTACTTTGCACTTAGTATCCATTGCTAGAATTGCAGTCGAATTGATACAATTCATAAAGGGAGTAAAATATGTCAAATTGAGGCAATTTATTATTTACGAATATATAATGTAATTTCGTGTTGTATTATTAAATGTGTAGCCCAATGGTTATTTGTGTTTATGTTGTTTTTTGTAATTCGACCAAACAAAGGGAATGGTTTCTTGTTTTCTTTTTTATGCTTGTTTCTCAACAACTTTTAATATTAAAACTTTTTCATCTAGTCTTATGAGAAATGAACAGGTGACAAGAGAAGGCAAATATTAAGAGAACGATTCTAATACAGTTCATGACGCGCATAATAAAGATGTTTCGTATTTTTCACATTATTACTTCCTAGCACCGTCAGCAGCAGAAACGGAAATTACTATTTGGTAGTTAAGCGAAAATGAATAAAATAGATGTTTTTGTGCTTTTCACAAGAACTATGAGTCGTATTTATTTTATTAATCTTTGAGATCAGCTTTTCAGCGAATAAAAAATCGGAGGAATGTCTCGTTATTCTCCACTATCTCATGATAAGTTTGTTAAACGAACTGTTGTTGACTTGACTGTATAATGAAAAATATTGCGAGTGCAAGTTTATATTCTAGGAGAGTATGTATGAATAGATGTTATCCATAGTAATGATTATAATTACTTATGTAAGTATGCGTTTACGTATGTATTTTGGATGGGCTTAGGATAGCTCAAATCAATAACGTGACTGTGTGAAATTTAATCTCCTAAAACGTTAGTGCATTTTTGGAACTTATAACTGTTTATTATTTGCAAGCAAATCTAATTTAATTATGCTACTATTTCATTTGAATTACAATAACCATCCAATTCACCACTTTGCTGTCAACCTTTGCATCACATATAACCGCACGTGGCCCACCGTTCAACCAATTTTTTGGTTTTAATACACACAAATGGAAATAAATGCAAAACAAACCTCGTTTGGGATTTGCGTGGGATTTTAGGAAGTGACACGCGCACACAAAGGCTGGGCACTGGACTCAGTTGTACTGCAAAATCAAATAACACGCTATAATAAGGAAGACATCTCCGAATACCCCACCGAAGGTGTCTACGTGCATGGTCTGTTTCTGGAAGGTGCGTATTGCCAGTTGGCGTGCCCTATGGTATGCCATTTCAATACTTGTGACCTTTCAACTTTCATAGTAACCCATTGCTACTTCTAATGTTTACATCATGACGGTTTATTTCTTAATTTTATCTTTAGCACTCATTATTTATGTTACTATGAAGTTTTCCTGTTCGCTTTGTTTTATTACCATGCCTTATAGCTGTAGCACGATTAATGCACACAAGTAAATATTTGCGACAATCCTTTAGAGTTCAATGCATTCCAAAAATTTTATTTATGTTATGAAGTGTCGGTATCAAGCAAGTATGAAAAATAATTTGTGAATAAGGCAGCAGCTCGGGTGAACATATAGAAGTTATACATATATACACCGAATGTCTTTTAAGATTTGCAAATACTAATAGTGTGCACGAACTCAAACGAATAGTTGCTACAAAATACTTGTACGTAAAATTCTTATCGTATATGTTGTATGTAGTATACCCATAAGAGAAATAAAGTGCCGCATTTCACTTTGGAAATGAGCTTTCACGCATGCCAATAGCACACATTAAAGTAGTATACGGATTTGAGCATGTTAGCACATTAATGTCAAAGCATATTCCACTTCTGGTTGCTTTTATCCTCACTCTCGCATTTTTTACATCTTAAATCCATTTTCACTTAATTTTCTCTCACTGGTCACCTAGTTTACAAGTTAAAACACACATACGTTTGGGAATGTGTACGTATATATGCACATATATAGGAGAATGTGTGGACATATACATATGTTTTTAAGCAGCCAAATGCCCTCAACTTTCTTGTAGGAGGGTCGTGGCTAAGCATTAACGAAACAATAAATATTAAAATCTACAACCTAATATCTTATGAACCTCATAATCGATAATTTAAAGTTTTTTATTTGTTATATATTTTTTATATTTCACAAAGGTGGTTCCAATTTAATGATAACATTTTCTTAAATTTTTGGTGCTTCGAAGTAATTATGGATAGGTGTGTCTATATTTAATAAGAATTAAATCATTCTTACATCAGTCCCGATGTATGATATGTTGCTCGCTTGAATACAGTTATGTTGCTAAATCTGAAATTTGCGTTACTCTATTTTGAATATTATTATATTTTCTGCTTTCCAATCACAAAATATGTTCATCCACATACGAGTAAATATGTATAAGTGTGTACATTATATATTATTATCCCTCTTAGAGTTCTATTCACAATTCAACAGCACAAATGCGTACATCCTTACATTTAAACGCACGCAGTTTCACACATTATTTTTTTTTGGAGAAAATACCCTTAAAGTCCATTCACCTACAACTTTCCTCGCTTTGCGTGACAGTTCAAACAGAAACAACGAAGCGCAGAAAACAAAGCGTATGCCACAATGAGCGTTTTGCTTAATAAAAAATGGCGATTGTTGTATGGCAAAGCGTAAAAAAATGAGAGTTTTTTTCTTGGCATCGCGTAGAAAACTTTTTATGTGAATGTACTCATACAACATACAAAAGCATATATCCAACTTTTCTGTCAAAACAAATACGTGACGCGAAGCGAAGCAAAAGTTCTATGTGAATTGGCCATAAAAGTCGTTAATTTTCAATATAAATACTTGTATGTATACACACATTATCTGTTAGGTGCTTCCCTGGATCGACGCAGTGGCAAATTGGTCGAGTCCAAGATGAAAGTACTCTACGAACAAATGCCGGTAATCTACATATATGCTATTAACACAACAGCTGGTAAGGACCCTAAGCTATATGAGTGCCCAATTTATCGAAAACCACAACGAACCGATGCCAAATATGTTGGTTCAATTGACTTTGAGACGGATTTCAACCCGAAGCATTGGACGTTGCGTGGCGTTGCTTTGCTCTGTGACATTAAATAATCGAAATGTTTCGCACATTTCATGTTTGCTTTTGGGTTGTTTGCGCCGACAGTAAAGAATGGATTTGTATGATGTTTGTTAAGTTGGCGTTGTCACGTGCTTTCTGCTTTTAGTTTAAGTTTATGTGCTATTTGAGCGTAAATAGATGTTGCGTATGAGAACTGTGTGCTCTTTATAATGGCCTTTGGATACAATACTATCCAATGTCCCAACTATGTAAATCGAATTGTAACGAAATGGTATAAAAGTTGTCTATAAAATAAAATGGTTTAAGAACGAGAAAATTATTCAAGCTCCTTAAAGTAATCATTGGTTAGCGTCTCCTTCAAACGCGAAAAATTTGAAGTTCCGAAAGCTAAAATACAGAGTGGCTCAGGAATCGTGCTATAAAAGCAAACCGTATTATATTTTTTATTTTTATTATTGCATTACATATATATTTTTTTATTGTATAGCAAATTTTATTATATATAATTAATTATTTTTAAAAATTATGGACCGTTAATGCACTCCATGCTCAGAAACGCCTATGCGACACCTAATTAGATTCATCGCGGCCTGAAGGGTTGAAATCGGGAGCAATTATTGATTTAATGGATTGCTTCAATTCAGTCAGATTTGTGGGTTTGGTTTTGTACACCTGCCTATAAAAAAAAGTCTGGTGCAGTCAGGTCAGGTAACCTTGAGGGCCAGCGAAAAGTGGCGTTTCTTGGAGCTATGTGTGCAGTTGCTGCATCTTGCTGGAACCAAACGCTATTGAAAGGAATACGTGTTCGGCGCAGTTCTGGGTAAAAAACTCATTCAATACCTTTAAATAACGGTGCCCATTGACAGTTACTGTTACACCATTTTCTTCAAAGAAGTATGACCCGACAATACATCGTGATGAAAGTACACACCACACAGTGACTCGGGGTAAAGGGCCGTTTTGATTGTAAGGACTTTCCTCAGTTCAATAATCTTATTGTCGTAAAATTGGTTTGAACTTACTGTTCACTTCATGAGTCATTTTATTTTAATTTAAAATACATATTACATTTTATTTTTTCAATACTTTTCAATGCATGTATATCTGTATATGTAAGTAAGTAAGTAAGTAAGTAAGTATGTATTTATACGTGTATATATAATAAATAATTACAATTCACTTTATATGTATTCGTGGAGAACTGGAATATTTACAAGAGCTGGATCCGAAGTCACGCCAATTGCATTGACCTTACACTTTAAGTTTTTGATAACTAATTTTTCTAAAATTTATATATCAACATTAAGGTAAATACATTTATATTTAACATAAAATTATCAATTTTTGTGATACTATTAGCAATAAAATAATTGTTGTTATTCTTCAGTTTGTATATACATGTATGTATGCATATAACTCTGCAGGTAGCATAGATTTCTAACAGTTAATAATACTTCGTTTTACATTCATACAATTCTCATTAGTTACTTATATACATTTGTATGGATATTTAAAATGTATAGTAAATACTTTTCTGAAATTCATTAAAATACTCGGTAAGTCATTCAAATCAAGCATATAACGCCATGGTATTTGAACTCAGAAATTTTAGATGTAATGGAGTCACATATAGCACAGCATATTTTTCCCGTATTTTGTATGAATTTTTTTATTAAATTAAATTTGCTTACTAATATTCGATAAAATAAAGCATACAATCTTACTTTGTAAAATATGTTTGTAAACTATAGCTTAAAGTTACGAGCTGCCTTGATCTAAATTCAATGTGTATTTCCTTTTTTGTGTATTTTGTATAGGATTTATTTAATTACTTTATAACAAACGTATTTAGTTTTCTTTAAAGCAGGTTTTGCCAAGGATAAGATAGCATGTTCATAAGCATTAAATATGTTATTCAAAAACGTTTCCGCCCGCGGAAGTTGTCGATTTGTAAATTTTGAAAGGCCAAAGAAAACAATTGTGTCTTAGATCTGTCATAATATTTTTTTAACGATAACATAAAAAACTTGATTAAGGGAATAGTACACAACAACATTAATGTGTGTTTTAAATATAGTATAATGGTACTGTGAAAGCTCTTAGAGATGATTACAATTTTGAGATTCTGATATACATACATAGTTAAACCCGACCTTTGCTCATCTGTGCTTTCATGATGATGTATTTTATTTTTGAACGTTAAAACAATTTGCAATTTGAAATGTTGATGTAATGAATGCTCACCCATTGTAATTATATTTTGTGTTGCGATTATGATTCCTGACATTCTTTGAGCTTTCTTATGACATAATTTCGCATTTTATGCTTAAACGCGCATGTACACACCTTCTTTGGTCATTTAAATAAACTACTGAATAAACGTTATTTATTTTGACGTAAAGTGCCTCATCCAGGAACTCGAAACCGTGTATAATTTAAGAATCTTCAGCATACTTAGAAACTTAACTTTACACAGCCCAATAAATGAATAATATTTGTACTGTATTTGTATTTATTCAGTATATTTGTTTAAAATAAAGGAATATATAATAATACAAGTATATAATTTCTTGTGGATGACAAAGGTTGTGCTATACATTCTAACTTCCTTAACTGTGAATAATTGCACTGAGTGACCTTTATTCAGACCATATCATTGACTTCTTTCCATGCGAGTGCCACTAACTTTTCCTCAAAACAGCAACATATTTTTATTACATTATTTTATAATAAATAAAATGACCGTGTTGCGCTTAAATTTTTATTTACCAACATGCGAATGGGTAGTTTATCCCTCGAAAGTAATATACGCGAGCCATTAAGTACATATTACATATAACATTTACATTAAATGCATTTCTAAAAACATTATATTTAACACTAAACACGATTTTATCATATTTAGTTCAATTACAATGTGACAACAACATTAAGTCACATAGAAATTACAACAGTTTTACTCAAATATTTATTTGAATATAAATACAAGTATATCATATATGCTATTAACTTAAGCATCTAAACTATTGAATATCTCCTAAGTACAAATAAGCAGAGCAAAGCTAACTGAATGAAAAGCTCTACCTTTTCAAACATGTAAGAGTTTATTTGGTTAATTGGTGTTAAAAGAAATGTGTTTGGACTAAATAGCTTCAAATCATGTTTGCGATGTTCATGAGTGTTTAGTTGTACTTGGAAGCGTGACTACAGCTTACTTTTTCATATTGTGGTGCTTCTTGGGCACTCCATAAAAGTATCGCATGTGGTAATCTGCGTTGTCATCATTTCGCTCCTTATCAGCGCCATTTGCTAGCACATTGTCTTCAAGTGTAGCCAAATGCACTTTGTCGGACACATTTTTGGCCAGCGTCTCTCCGTTAGTAAATGAATTGGCATTGGTACTGCTGCTATCGCCACCTGTGCCCTTGTCTTGAATTCGTCGATCCGAAGTCAATTCATTTCCCTTGGTGTTGTAAATATTTGTGTCACCTACTTCGGCACCATTTTCAAGTGCATCGATGTACCATGAAGTCGTCTGTCCATCCATGTCGCCTTTGCTTTCAGTTTGGCCCAGAACGGTATTGTATATGTGAGCGGGTTGTTGTAGGTAGTCATATATGGACACATCTGGTGTATACCCCAATTGATTAGTGTAATGTGGCTGCCACAAAGGTTGCAGTTGGAGTTGCGATTGCTGTTCATATTGGGGTGCGCGATACGTGTATATTTGCTGAGGATAAGGAATGTGCTTGAGGGAATATTCAAATTGTTGTTGTATTTGCAATGGGAGTTTGTAGCTGGAGTCACCATCATTGTTCAGCATACGTTTACCGACGTTCTTCAATATGGCACGATTCAATTCCACCTGTTGCAGTCATGGATGAAATTCATAAAAACGGTAAATAAATAGCAAATAAAATGAGTGAACTGTGCGCTCTGGGGAAATTTAAGTGCATTTCTAAATTTGATATAGCGGCTGGAGAAGCTGGGGATAGTGTTGATGAAAGGAGTGAGTAGCGGAATTTTTTTTCAATTTACAGTAAATTCTTCACTGTGATCTATATGGGCTAAATGTGTAATGAAAGTGTATCATGGTGGCGACTAAAAGTAACCACTTATCTATGGTATAGTAATAAGTATATATTAATAGTTTAACTAACTTTAGTATGGTCCGCGTTCCTAAGTAGTCACTCACTGTTGTCCCTTACAAACAACCCATATCTTTTAAGGGTGATGCACGTCGAGATGTCGTTTGTCAGATTTCGGTCTAAAATAAACTAGTTTCAGAATTTATAATTTGAAGATCATTTTGTAACAATACCGTAGAAACTTCATTAATAAATATTCTGATCTTTTCTTGACTACTTGTAGCTCTACTGGCCTAGTTATGGCATAGCATACTTCCTAAATAGATTGACGCTGTAATGCAAGTTACCTAACCATATGTGTATGTATGTAAATATGCTGATAGAATGACTAATTGACTGCTTGGCTCTTTATCTTATCTTCTACCCTCAACACGGCGATATTCACCTTTTCGCTTATGCCTTCTTTCACATAAAAGCAGAAGCATAATACATATATAAGAATTCTGCAGGATTTGCTTGAGTAGCTTCGGTATATGTCCATATGTATGTTAGCATGCAGTTGCAACAAAAAAAATCCGGTTATCTACCTCCTTTTTTCTTCTCAATGCAGATGTAGAATGACATTGACGATGAGTTAACAAATCAATTTATCATGCGACTCGTGTCGTGACGTGTGTCTGCTGTTGCGTAGAGCCATCTCTGGAGACGATTATACTCGTGTATGATATATTGAATACATGGCTAACGAAAACCCTTTCATTCTGAAATATATCTATCTACAGTTAATTGATTTGTAAATTTGCAAACAGAAAATGCTATATTTAATCAACCCTTAAGCATATTTGTGAATAAATTATATTGAGAGGTTGATAATTGTCATTGCATAATTTTTATGGCAACATATAGAGAGCGCACAGTACGGGAGAAGTGTTTATAGTGATGTTGATAAGTTTGTTCATTCTTAGGTTCTTTCCATTTCGATTACCTGTCTTGTGTTCTCCTTCATTTGCCTTCGAGCAATCTCTAGTAACAAACGTTGCCGCAGCACATCCAACGGATTCACGATTGACAGTGAGGGTTTGTTACGCTTCTCCAGCGAGAAATCTTTCTGTAAATATAGAGAATAAATAAACCAATATTTCACTGATTTAATTAGTCGAAACGTTTACAGTAAAAACTTTAATTTTACTGCGCCAGTCCGCGTGACAGTGGATCCCCACCAACATTATAGTCAAATCGGCTTGAAGCTTATAGAAATTACCAATTAACGCTTTGGCTGTGTGTGTTTGTGTACGTACAGCTACAGATACTTTGTAATGAAGCAACAAAACATTTAAGAAATTTACAACTCTACATCCAAAAGTGTCTGAATTATATCGAAATAGTCCGAAAAACACGACATTTACACTAAGTATAGACGACTATATAAATGGATTATATTATATATATACTTGTATTTATTTATTTAACAGGAAGATAATTATAAATAATTATATTACAATTTAAAGGCACTAGCAACGAAGGCTATAGGCCTCGGGTTATATATATTTATGTATGTATTTATCTCAAACAAATGGTCAAATTTGGAATATTATAAAGTATTTCTAATAAATTATTATTGTTGTTTTTTATTTTTTAAACGAAACCCCGTGTATTTTAAACTAGAACGAGACTGGTGTATTGCAGGCCTAAATATGATCAGATATGACAACTGACGTCTCATAGAACATTAATAAGTAAAACAATTACTAGTTGCTTAAACCGAAACGAAAGAGTCTGCTAACTAGTCGGCAACACTTTGGATAGGTACACGTGTACATGTATGTGGGCTAAACCTTTACCAAAATATAAATATATGTTTGTACTGCTATGAATGGATGTGATGAAGTTTCAGTTGCATAATGAAATAATCGAAATTGATAACGGATGTTTTTACAGTTACACAACTAAAGACAATTTCATTGTGCACAGCTACTACGCATTGATTTCATATTATAGGCGCGAGTATCTGGCACATTAAACAAAATGCACATGCATACATATGTCTATAAATGTGGCCTGGTCATGCAAAAATTCATACGAGCAGGCTGTCACCAACCAATATGTGGGCAGCTCAATCCCTCCCTCGTATTGATACAACTCTGTTATCATTGTTATGCTGTTTATGTCAGCATTGTGGCTGAAACTGCCGGTTTTGATGATGCCAGTTGTGCAACGCTGAACACAAAGTCGTTAAGCGTTACAGTAGATCTGGTCTGAATAATACCAGTCTGTTGCATTTTCCTACTTTTCGTACGAATTTTTTGTTTTTCTTAAAAATATTATATACATGTGCATTATACGAGTATGCGGTTCAGGTTGCTTATACGCACCACAGACCTTGAAGTATTTCAACTAGTGAAAACGCGTTGGCTTACAACGTCATCATAAACCAGCTGTATGTGTGTACGATATGTTTATCGAAATTTAGAATATGTACAATATGAATACAACACTACTCTTGTATAGAATTTGTTTAAACGCCTAATTTCAAGCCTAGCAGATCACTAAGTCAGATAAATGTAAAACAAGCTATTATAATTAATTGAGAGGCTACAGTTATTGAGAAACAAAAAAAATAATATCATATTTCTCTTCGACTAAAGAATAAATGTTTGGGCAGTGAAAATTAGCACAATCACGCACATAAACTTTTAGTTGACTTTCGAGTTTTATAAACATAAATAAGCCATATGTAGGGGGGTGGTGTTCTTCTTACTTCAATGTCGCACGTACAATCTGTGTATCAGTGCAAATATAAAGAATATTACTGTGCATTTCCGCCATTATATCTGTGTGGACTGGACGCGCTGCTGCTTATTAAAAAGTTTGTGACTTATACGAGTACATGCTGAATAAACAGGAGTTGTGAGGTGAGCTCAGAATAAAAATTTTCAGATACTTGGGTTGTATGAATGTGTGTGGTATGAAAACAAATATCAATGGCATAAATGTATCGCATGGGAAGCTCATGATTATGCTGCTGATGCAGAAGAAAACAAGCGTAAATAAGGTTTATGCTTGGCTCATTTGGTGTTAACAATTAGCTGTCAAATAAAAGTTTGAACACACGAACGGAAGTGGAATGAGAAGATTGTGTTTTCAAAGCGAATTACTGGAAAAGTTCAACGGCAAGTTGGAATGCGAGCATTTTACAAATAGTCTGCAATTTGTTTTAAATAAAAATCTACAAAGAGTTGGTCGAGCAGAAACGTTCTTAACGCCGAAAGCCGCTGTAATGCTATTGACGGAACCGTTATAGAACAATTGCTCGCCGTTTAATGAATTATTTATGTTGCCATGTACGATTTTCTTTATTACTTAAGTGTAAGTGAAATAATTGGTGTTAATTAAATAAACGTAATGCCAAGAGCTAAATAAAGCTAAATTTATGTCGCTCGAAACTTTCCCACTAAGGCAAGCGTGAGAATATCTATGAAGTCGCTATTACTTAAAATGTTAAACTTTTCGCACGCCTACAAGGTTTGTTCAAAAAGTATCGCGAATTTCGAATTTTCGCGACAGAACACCATTCGGATACCTTTACACGACACTAGAGTGTATAAACAATAATTGATATGTACTTCCCTCAAATACACCATTACAAGTACTTTTTTTGAACTGAAACTGACTTTGGAATTGTTCGAAAATATTTTACTTACCTGTATTGACTTGACGTCCGCGTAGTCGAGAGGGTAGCCGAGAATATTGCTGTGGTGGTTCCGTTGTTGAGCCGTGCACACGAGTCGCGCTGCGCAAATCAGAACTATGATGGGACAAAGTCTTGTAGTAGCTTTCATAGTTCTGTAAAAAAAAAAAAATAATAAATAAAACTATTGACTTTTTGCAGTTTTATACATAAATATCTCTGGGAAACTTTTATGAATTTTTATAACATTTTCCGCAAATTTTATTTATTGCCGCATAAATCGTAGCGATGTAACTCTCGACTTGTCTCATATACTTGTATGTATGCTTCGGACCACAGAAATACATACATTAAAACTACATATAGACACCGCAGAACATTTGCTTGATGCGCTCATGAGGAAAGTTGGAGTGAGTGATTTGTGATGGCGTTATGAATGAAAACAGTGAGCAAAACTATTAAATACGTATGTAAGTGTATATATCTCCAGTTTTATCACTAGTTTTGTGACAACCCATCCCTTTTCGGCGCAATCGCCAGCTGGACATTGGCAAGAAATTCATAATTATCAACATGTACCTATGACGGTCATGGCGGCATCTGATGCAGCAATATTTAATTGTGCCTATACTAGCTTTTATTCGCTGTGTAATTTAATTTGCCATTTATTAGAAGCACTTTGCCTCTTTTATGTATGCTAAACGCGTTACGTTTAACTGAAAAGCGTCATAGGTCGAAATGAAATCAATCCAGTTAGCGGTAAACGTTCAACAGTAGTTTAACTGTAATAATTATCTCGATTTGTACTAATGTTATTATATTTGTTTGGATCGACTAAAAATTCCTTTATATATATTTTATCAAAGTTAAATCGTTTCTGAAAAAAAAAAATTTACCGCTGAAAGACCAAATGATTATTTAAACTCTTGGCTTCTCAATTACTTACTGCTATTAAAATAATTTTACGAAATGACTATCTCAAAACATTTAAGGTAACAGTTATTGCAATCCAACTTTATTCATGAACAATTTGTTGAATTAGCCTGAAATGATGGCTGTAAATTGTAGAGTTACATTATTTGCCACCCTTTATTCGGTGTGTAAATATTCCGAATGGCAAAGCTCCACTTCCCATACTTCGAATTTGAGGTATACAGCTGCATCACCGTTCATTAACGCTGAACATTAACTCAACATCATATGCTCCATCAGTCAAGCAATCAGAACGCCATTCTATAAGTATTTGTTTGAATGAATTTGAAAGCTTTGATCGTGTGCCTCAATAAAACGCCGTCGAATTATTTGTGGTTACATATAAAAAGCGCTTATGAATGCATCTATTTACTATACATATGCATATATGTACATATGTATAATACTTTAAAGTTGTGCGTGCATATGCATGAGTGCAAATGAGCTCAGTGTGTGCAGCCCGACAATTGCCATTGATGCATTTCGTGCTGTCATTGCCATGCATGAATTCTCACTCGTTCGTCTATTCAAGAAGCAATCGCCAACACACATGAGCGCCCCGTGAGTGCATGTGTTGTTTTTATTTATTCAAACATCACATATACATATGTACGTACAAACAACAAATAAATACATAAATAAGCACTTACACATAGTCCATAAATTTCCAATAAAGCGCTGACATGTCTATATCACTTTGTTATGGACCAGCTGAGCTTCCGAATTTCGTGATATCAGTTATTGGCACAACAACAAACATTGTTATATGCCGTTAGTTTTTACCCATTTACACACGATTTACATTTTTTTTACGTGCATACATTGTGTACATGTATATGCAAACAATCGGTGATGGCTTAATTAATTGATTTATACTTTGAAACTATGTATAACCAAGAGCAATTTATTTTAAATTGCTAATAATTAATCTTTTTTGTGAAATATATGATACATAGTATATGTATACATATGTATGTATGCAAAACCATCAACGAATTGTGTCACGTGATTGCTGTAATGCTCCCATTTTAAAGCATACAATATATATGTAAGTACATACAACAAGTAGACTGCCCTCACAAATACTTCATCATATTTTCAATACAGTTTTAACCAATTATATTCAACTAAACACCAAATAACGGTAATTTATTTATATATAATTCGGATATATTCCGGATATTCCTGCATTAGTTTGCACATCAGTTGGTTGAAATTTTTAGGATATTTTAATTTGAAATTGTTAAAGTAATTCTCAGAGTAAATAGCGTGCATAGTCTTTATGCAAACTCGGTAGATGCCAAAGTACAAAAATGTTGTGTAACAAGTTCTTCCATACAAATATCTGCATACATATGTATGTGTGTACTGCTTGAGCGTACTCAATGTCAGAATTGCTTTGGAAAATTTAAACAATTTCCAAACTGAAATACGCTTAGTAATCCAAATTTAGGAAATTGTACGGATCTGATATACGACAAGTTTATCACAAATTTTAAATAAGTATCGTAGAAGAGATATGTATGTATAATAGCGAAAATATAATATACGGAAGAATAAGAAAATAATTGAACAGAGGACTCTCGCCAGTGAGCGTCAAAGCGTGCAAAACTACCTCTACATACGAGTATACGACCATTCAAAATGCATCATGGGGAATTCTATTGGATATTCCTCCTGATAATGGAAACACATGCGATCCTAGAGGGTCATACCACACGTTTGTCGTAAGCTGAATGTTACATTAATATTTTTAGGCAGCGAGTAGCGGTTTCTGACCTGAATATTCATTGTTAAAAAATGTAGTTTTGAACCCGACTGTTTAGGCTATTATATAATATATAGGTCACTTTAATTAGAATGTCATGCCAAGCTGTACATTTGAATATTCCAATGTGATTATTTGAGTGTGGTAACATATTCTTAAACGGGATTTAAAGTTGTTAAACTTAGGCGCTGTGAAGCACTTTCACAAGTCTTTTTGGAATGGTATAATAAGAAGCAAAGGAATAAGTGTCTGATTCTAGACATACTCCTCCCACAAGCTGCTATCGACAAATTTATTATACCATATGTGCACCCAATGCCTTCGAAATAAAAAACTTAAAAATAAATTGACGAAGTATGATCTCTAGGAATATATGTATGTATTATTATAACAAATCCATCAACACTAACAAATAAACTAAAAGTGACAGTAACAGATCAAAGGGTAATAACATTATGTTTAACTATATGAGAATTATAATTCGAATAAATCAAATCGAAAGTTTCAGCTACTTTATATTACCTCCGCCCGAATTATATTATAATTAAATCTGCGATAAATCGACAATTCTTCTATCTTGCTTAAAATTATAAGGTTTTGGAAGTTGGCGAACGCAATTTGCGTCAAATTGACATGACAGTGCAAGATAATGTCCTTTGCTGTCCTTTCATACTTTTCACATACTTCATTTGTAGACGAAATTCGCCTAATTTATTGTCTCTTTATCTCCTATCTCATTATGCCAACTTTTTTTGTTTTACTTGTTTTTTATAAAATATATGCATAGTACATGAGAATGAAAGTCTGTATGTATATGCACGAGAATATCTATCTACACATTTAGGAAGTAAACATACATATGTACAGATATATAACACATACTCGTACGTCTTATATAAGGCATGTTTCTACACGCAAATATATTTGATTTGTATTATTTGATGAACAAATCTGGCCTCAATCGATTATATCGCTATTTATTATGAATTCATTTTTCTTTCCTTTTTCAGCGCAAAAGGATAAGTACTATATGTATGTATAAATGTTCGTTTAAATCTTATCTGAAAATCTTTCTACACGTTGTGTGACTATTACATTTGTTTGCAAACCAAAAAGCCCATTTCGATGTAACTCATATGTATGTCTGTATGTATATCATTGCACTATTCGACTATGTTGAAGGAACACGTGTAGGTGTAGACTTTAGCGTTGCCTTTCTCCTTCAAGAACAGGTAAAAAATTGTTTGCTATTTGTCAGTTTTGAGTGCGCCTGTGGCTAATATGTAAGTGGTTTTTATTTTCGTTCTTGGATATTTGCTGGATAAATCCAAAGTATACTTCAGCAATTTTTTCGTTTACATTAACAGTAACATACATATGTATGTATTTTAAAGAATGAAAGCAGAAATTATTTCTAATATAAGTTATCACAGCTCAGTTTTATATAATGTTTTTATATTGTACTTTGCATTAGTATTATGAGGGCATGTTCGTAAAAATTACT